ATTTGAAATGGTGCAGCTAATACAAAGTCATCAAAGCACTATGGTTCTTGTCTTAAAGTGACAGCCCTCTTTATGGGGCTGTTTGAAATACGCCCCCTGCTTTTCAATGTCTCTCTATCCATCTTTGTCTGCTCTTCAGAAAAGCGGACAATATAAAGCCCAGCCTGGCGAGCTCCCCACGCTCAGGCCTGGGCAGTGCCAACCTCGGCCTTTAAGCAGATTGAAATTGTCACTGCTTCATTAATCTGAAACTAGTTACTTTCCTAAGCACACAGCACACACTTCCGATCTGTCGGGATTCACTCAGAGGAGTCCCTGGGGCCTTCCTGAGTTTGGGATTTGGAAGGCTCAACAAAGGTACCACAAAGGGTCAGGAAAACATACGGCTCAGCCTGAAGAAAAGTGATGCCCAGTGTGGAAGAGCAGGCATTGACATCAATAGAAGAGCACACAAAACACTCTTTCCAGAGACAATGGAATGCCCAGAATTTTGGAGGGTGCACTTGAGAACCAGGAGTCCAGCTACGGGAACAGACAAGGATATCTACCTCTCTGTGGAGTAGTTTCAGGGCTGTGAGGTCTCAGGCTTCAGATTTTTTCCCCCCGAACAGAACAAACTTGCTTCCAAAACATGAGTGAAGGTTGGTTTTAGTATTTTCTCATCTGAACTCTGATTCCATTCTGTCCCTAAGAGATGTCTTTAAATTCCCATTTTTGTTGGCCCTCCCCAGTCCCAGCCTGTGTAACTCACTCCGAGGGCCAGGGCCATGATTGTAGGGTGTGTCCCCGTGGAGTTTCTCACTTTCTGTTTGACATGCTGCCTCTCTTCTTCATGCCCCCACCACTAACAAAAGGCAGTGCCAAAGATTCCTCTACTTTAACACTTCCAGTTGGCTTAGAATAGCAAGTTTTTGGATTCTATTCCATCTAAGTTAGGGAAGAGATGTAGGCATTTTTTTTCCCCAGAGAGGCTCAATTTTCTGTCATGTTAAAGCTTCAAGATTGATAAAATAGATTTATATTAAATTTTTAGTAGAAACCTAGCAATTGTATCATTTAATCCCATAGAAAAAAATGTTTCTTTTAAGAGTTCTGTCACCTTAACAGGTACATACGAAGATTTCCTCTGAATAATGAAAATAGGAACAATTGCTTTCCTGCGTGGAGCTGCATTCATGTCTAGGAGAGTGTTAGGCTGTGTTTGGAGAGCATAGGAGGAGCTCCTTTTAAAGCAGTGATTGCGCCTTTAAACCCAATTTCCTCTAGTGAATGACTTCTGTTGGAAGTGTCGTAGTGTCGTACTCCTCCCCTCTCACGTCCTCAAGGCTGGCCTGAGATCCAGCACAGAGCTCCCGCCCCCAGTCTCCCCTTACTGTTCAGCCTTTTGCTCCTCCCTCAACCCAACTCGGAGCACTTTCCCACCTCCCTCAAAGAAACCTCCCAAGGAGCACCAGGAAAAAGAGTGGAACCTGCAGGAAAGGTGGAAGTGAGAAAAACATAAAAACAAAGAACACTGGTGAAAATAGCTCTTCTCTTTTCACAACGTGACCACCGCCAACAGAGTTGTTTTTCTTTCTCACAGACACAGATACACATGCACACACATATACACACGTGCATGCGAGTACAATACATACACACAGACCCTGCTGCCCTCTGTGACCTCTTTTAGTTAGAGCAAGCACCTTCCCAGCAACTCCCTGACCGCAGTCAGGATGGGCCAAAGAAACTGCATTTCTAATCCTGACCAGATATGAAAGGGCAGGATTGGTGGGGAGGAAGGGTGAATTCAGGAAGGGAGGAGAAAGCCAGACATCAAAGTTTTCATATCCCAAGTGTTACTTTCTCCTAAAATATTCTCAGATATCCTTGAAGGGATGAGGTGGGTGGGCACTAGGCTGTGATGACCATTTCAGAATAAGGATATGTGTTTGGGGGGGTGTCTATCATCACCAGTCTATCATCTCCGTCACCTGGGCTCATGGACACTTAGGGGTGATCTGGGTCCCTTCTATCCTGAGCATGCTTTGTAACCAAGAAGGCTTGCTGACTGCCACTATCTGTGTTGGGCCCTTGGCCTTGGGTATGTGTTGGTCACTGGGTGGGCAGGTGAAGGGGAAAGGTCTCTGCCCACCCTCTTTTCTCCAAATGTCTGCACTGGGTCAGGATGCAGGGCAAGAAGTCATCCTTCCTGCTGCCCACCCCACCCCCACCTCTCCCCCTAACTGTTGTCCTGTTTAAAGCTACCAAGCTACCACAGGACTTGTTCTCAAAGAGGTGGACTCAACCACACTAACGACTCCTGCTGCTCGTTCCTTTTCTCTTAATTGCACAAGGTCCTGGTTTCTAATTCCCCTTTTCATTCTCTTTCTCTCTTTCCATCATGTGTCTACAGGCCCCTCAGAGGCCATGTTTTGTGGAAACAGAGTTCTGTTTCTCAAGATGGGGCATCTAGTGCTTTGCAGGTAGAAAAATTGTCAAAGGTGACCCCACCCATCTTCAATATTCCTCTCCAATAAGTCCAGAGACACTCCCCTTGGAGTGTTGGATATCAAGATGAGTTGGCAGGGTATCTGTGTGTCTGAGTGGTGGCATAGGTGTTCTTAACCAAGGGTGAAACTGTAGGCCTTTAAAAGCAGACATTTCCAAAGCCTTATTCTGATTTGTAAACTTCAAAAACATTTACTGAACAAGGGGCTGAAAAATTCACTCTAGTACGCAAGACCTTATGGTTCACCCTGAAGGTGACAAGAAGGCCCCCTGGCACCAAATGTCCTAGAACACCGTCTCCCCCACCTCCTGTCCCGCATGGTCCCCTCCACCTCTACCCTACCCCCACCCCGGCAAACCCCAGGCCTAGGTAGGTATCTTTGAATGAATCTTTTGATTCTGGTGGAGGATCTATTGTTTATCCTCTCTTTTCTGAGTAATGTCCTCTAAGACAGAAGGGAGAGTGGCTGAGCCCAAGCTCCAGCAGGGCGGTGGAGCTGGGCCCTCCGCGCAGCATCGGGTGTGGTCAGTGCGTGGCTGTGCGCTTCGGCCGCAGGCCTGCAGCCAGGCGGGGCTCAGATCTCAGTCTCACCTAGGGGAGGCTTGGGGAGGGCCGGGCTCCAGCGCGGGGGCGACGGAGGGACCGGGCGAGAGTGGATGGGAGGGGGGAAGGAAGGAAGTGTCCGCCCAACACCCAGACGAGGCTTAGTTAGGGCAGGAGGGTGGAAAGCTGCAGCAGACCCTCTTTATCCTTCTCGTTGTTTCCTGAAAAGGAATTCTCCTTAAACACGCGTTCTTTACCCCTCCACATTCACTTCTTCCCACCCCCATTACTCGGGCCGGGAGAGGCCTGTTTATTCAGAAGGAGGGGGATGGGATCTTCGGAAAAGGCCTTGGGTCCGCGCCCATTCCTCTTCGCGGCGGTCAGGGCCAGGGCCCCGAGGCTCTTGGTGCGAGAGAGACCCAGAGGCTGAGGCCTCTGACCCAGGCAGAAACGAGCTGGATGCCAGTGACCTCTGCGCAGGGCCGGGCCCGAGTCGCGGTGCAAAGCCGTGTCCGCTTGCATTCAATTCGACACGGGGCGGTCTCTCCCCCTTCCAGCCAGTCTCGGCAGGCACCGGGATTCGAATAAGGAGCGGCTTCCAGTGTCTGAAAGGGCGACTTTCCTTCTGGGGCGCGGTCCGGGGCTGGGGGGCGGGGGGGGGGCGGGGTGCAGAGGGACGAGGGAGAGGAGAAAGAGAGGAAGGGCAGGGGAGAGACAGACAGACAGACAGACTCTGGGAAGGGAAAACCGCAGTCACTTTCTCCCTTCCTTCTCCTCCTTCCCAAATTAGCTTCCAGATCTCAGTCTTAGAGCCCCAAGCCCACCTGGACAGCTTTCTGTTCCGGCCGACCTAAAGTTAGTCAGGCCTAGAAGTCCGTGTACGCGTGCTGTAAAAAGTTCCTAGGGTTTGACCTCTTTGGTGGACTCTTTACAGAAAATCATCAGAAACAACACCAGTGGGCATTTGTGAGATTCAGCTCGCAGAAAATGACATCTCCTAGTTTCCATGTTTCCAGCTTCACTTCCTTTTTAGGCAACAGGACCTGGCAGCACCGAGGAGAGCGCCAGGTTGACCTGCTGAGGGCGCAGCCACCGTCTCCTCGGGGAACAGGCTTGCAGAAGTTAACTCTGCAAGGTGGTGGGAAGAGAGGGACTAGAAAGGAGGCAGTTTAGGTTAAACTCAGGGAGACGAGAAAAAAAAACACCTAAAAACAAGAGTCCAGATGTATCTTTGAGCTATTTTGGAAAAGTGAGAATGTCAATCATTAGAATAATTCCCTGTTCCTGAGCTATTGTTTTCTTGGCGTTGAGGAAAACCAGCTCACTTCTTAGCACGAGGAACAAGGAGGAATGGTAAGGTTTCTAGTCACTTAACAGCATCATTTGTAAGTTTCTATGTTTGCTTCCAACCTGCTTTGATGGATTGTTGCTCTTCCAAAAACTATTCCAACTCTTCAAATTCCTTCACATAATTCAGCTTTTGATACTAAGAGAGATGAGGAAGAAGGAAAAAGGAGGGCACTGCCGCAGAACATAAATACTAGGTAAGGAATGCTCACCTTTTCTCGCTAAGGAGATTAAAAGGTTTGCCTGTCACTCATCGTCAGCATCACTTTAAATGGCGTGATTGTCCTGTCAACTGTGAGGAGGTTAGCTGTTTTGAGGGCAGGGAGTTCCTACGCCATAGGTGGCATCGTAACTGAAGGTGTCTCCTTGTCAGAAGTTTCTGTCACACAGAAATCCTAGAGAGCCCCAAACTCCCTCAGCCAAGAGACCCACAAGACCATCTAAATGCTCACATTTTTTTTTCTGTCCATGAGGACAGGGTTAGATGGGGAGAGCAAACACCAGGAATTGAGAACCTCGATTTTGTTTCATTTATTTAAATAAATATAAATATAAATTTTATATAAAACTATTCACATAAAAAGGGACTTCCAGCACTTGGATTTTAAACTCTCCCCAGGCAAATTTTCAGAAAGCAAGACCTACAGGGTTTACTTTTCTAAATCAATCTCAATTCAATACTTTTATTTTAAAGCAACAGGAAATAATCAAGAAATCCGGTGTTCTTATCAGGTTCTGAAAGACAGCAGCGAAGGGAAAATGGCATGCACTTTCAAAAAAAAAAACAAAACCCCATACAGTGCTAAACTTAAACCAACCCTGTTTTTTCTGTTATATGACACAACTGTGTAGAATCTAGATTATGTACATTTTTTAAAAATCTGTTACTGAGAGTGGAGCCTAAACAAATAGGTCAAGGAAGAGACGTGAAGGGTCAGACCCAGCATGCACGCCCTGGGGACGCTCCACTCGTCCTTCTCCAGATGGGTCCACGGAATGGGCAAGGATTTTGACCCCTGGGTGCCTGCCGCGTTGGCGTTGTGGGGGCTCCCGGAAGTGTGTGCTGAGATGGAGGTGGCCCTCCCTCATAAGGGGGAAATCTCCTTGTCCTCGTTGGCCGAGGCCGGCGACAAGGAGTCCTCATCCTCAGAGCGCGCGTAATGCGCTTGGCTGCCGACGCACTTGCAGCCCGCGTGATTGTTCCTCTGCGTGCCCTTCCCTTCCTTCTTATGCTTTACCCGGCGGTTCTGAAACCAAATTTTCACCTGCTTCTCCGACAGGTTCAGGTACGTGGCAATTTCGATCCTCCGGAGTCGAGACAGGTACATGTTGGAAGAGAATTCCCGCTCCAGCTCCAGGAGCTGCGTGCTGGTGAACGCCGTCCTCATCCTCTTGCCATTGGGTACCTGGCTGGCGTCCGAGCCCCCTGCACACGGGTTAAGAGAGGGCAGAGAGGTCATTCTCCAGAAATGCGCTCCCACCCCACGTGCCATCCCTTGGAAAGGATGTCTCTCAAGGACCCCTCCGGGAAGCTCAAATACCTGTATCCATCCCTCACACTTTCAGATTTCCTAGCACATCCTTACTTAACTAAGAAGGGTAGAGACGCCCAAAGCAACAAAAGGCCTCAGACGTGTGGGACCTAAAGTCAGAGGATTAAAGGGGACGGGAGTTTGCAGAATCAGATATTCCCCTTTCGGGCCTAGCTGAGAGGCAGAGGCAGTCAAGCTTAGCCGCAAGTATGGAAAGCTTTAGCCAGACTCGGTGCCCAATGCCACACTGAAGTTTAAACACCCACTCCGGCAGAGGCCAGATAGCATCCAGTTTCTCAGCCCTCAAGTTCGACGTCTCTAAAGCCCCTATATTACGCAATACTTGGGAACCAGATACCAGGAATGAGGTGCACTAGGCTGCTTGGAGAGTTTGGCAAACTAACTTCCACCTTCGTGGAACTTCTTGGGCCCACTTCACAGTTACACTAAAAGCCCCTCCTCCCTCCCCACCCCGCCCCCCGGGCTCCCATTTCCTCCACAGTAGGCGAAGTTTGTTCCCGAGAGCTGAGAAAGCGCGGCGCGCAGGTGCCCAAAGACCCCGCCCTACCCATGGTGAGGCAGTGGAATCTCCGCGGGTCCGCCACGTTGTAGGTGGTGGCGGTGCAGACAGGTGCGTGGTGCTGCGGGTGCCCCAAGGCCGCCGCGGCGGCCGCCGCTGCTGCCGCAGCTGCCGCGGCAGCAGCAGAGCCAGACTGTTGGGGCTGGTGGTGGTGATGGTGGTGCTGCGGCGGGTGGTGGTGATGATGCGCGTGGCTCACGCGCGGGCAAAACTGTGCGTCCCCAGGACCAGAAGAGAACTGACTCTTGAGCAGGGGCAAGGCCCCGGCACCGCCCGCCGCCCTGCCACCCCCAGCCCCTGTACTCCCAGTCCCTGCGCCCCCGCCGCCGGAGCCCGTCGGTCCCCGAGAGGAGTGCAGGTGCGAAGTGACGCAGAGAGGGCAAACGCAGAACGCGCCGCTCTTGCGAGACGGGCAGCCGGGCCCGGACACCGACATCACCAACGGGGACGGCATGCCCAATGGGATGAAGAAATCTGGCCCGGGGTGCGGCTCAGGCAGCGAGGGCTCGGGCCGTGAGGAGTCCTTGATGATGAGCGAGTCGACATAGAAGGAGCGCGACATGTCGGGATGGGTGGGTAGCTGGAGGACCGGGCCGGCTGCGGTGCCCCCTCCCCTCTTCTGTTCAGAGCTCTGCCCCAGGCGCGGCGCGGTTGCTGGCGGTCAAGCCCTCGGGGACGCAGAGGTGTCGGCGTCTGGGCTGCGAACAAAGGGGTCCCTGGAGAGGGCTGATCCTGACGTCCCCCGCCCGGAGCCCCGGCTCCGGGATTTTATAGCCCCCACCCCAGCACGTGATGCTGCTGAGTACCGCTCGGCTCAGGCTCCTCGGCAGCTCCCCACCCTCGGGATAGGCTGCCCGAGTCACAACAGAAGCAGCGAGGAGGGGCGGGCGCGCTGCAGGGAATAACTCGGAGGAGGGGGGTGGGGGAGACTTTGCGAAGTGTAGGTTTTGTTAATTTCGCGGGGAGGCCGGCCTCCTCCCCCTCTTTCTCCACGCTTTCCCGAGAAATCAGAGCTGCATCCTCCATCCCACCCCTTCTCAAGCCCGGGCCCCAGCCCAACTCCTCCCGGAGCCTAGCCGCAAAGCGCACCAGGTGGGAACTTTGAGACCTTTTGAATGGGGATGCCCAGTGTTCCCTGGTCCTCTGTGCCAGCCGTGGCTGAGGCGCGATAAAGTGTGAGGCCTGTAATTTGGAGCAGGATAAGGGCAGAGAACTGGCAGCAGCCCAGTCCCGGAGCTCGGCTTAGGCCAGGGACACACAAACGCACAGATTCAGTCCTCTAGCTTTTGGACTCGACCAAGGTCATTCATGTCATTTAGGTGTCTATTTCGTGAGGGACCCTGGGAGTAAGAGTAAGGCCATCCAGCTGAGAGGCTGACAAGCTTTTCATTTCAATTCTTGAGAAGCTCTACGATGCCTTGCACTCAGGGCTACTCAGGTCAATGACCCTTCCTTGTGCCCCTTTCTGATGGGCAGCTCCCCCTTTGGCAGAGTGAGATGTTGAAGAGTCACTCTTTTTTCTACAAACGGCTCCACTGGTACATGTCCAGGCCAAACCCACAAACTTCACTCAAGGATTCCCCAGAGGGGACTCAAGCCCTAGCCCCACTGGAGACTGGGCAGGGGTTGGGGAGGCTTTTGTTCTGGGTCCCTCTCTCCCCACCTCCTGCCCCTTTGCGGTTCACAGACTCGGGCAGCTGGCAGACTAACCAGAAAGCACTCTGCCCTCTGCACTCATATAAGAGCCCGAAAAGTTTGCAGGAAATCGAGCCATTCAAGGACTCCAGACTCTGATGGGAGCAGTGCTTTGGAAAAGGAAATCTCTGAGCAGCACATGGTCCAGCGGAGGACCGAGTGGCTATGTGAGAGAGGGTGGCTGCCAGGATAGGGGCTATCGATCTTTGGGGAAGGCGAGGTGATCGCTTTCTCTCCTTATCTCTGTAGAAAACGCGTCTGGAGTAGGGAGGGTGAACAACAACTACAAATCCGATCCTTTCCCCTGAACAACTAACTTTAGGCCTGAATTCACAGCAGTGCTAAGAAACTTGGGGACAGGACTTCCTCCACCTATGAGAAGCAAGTGCCCAAATCCTAGGGAAGTGCTGGCTCCTCGGCTGGAGCCATGGCTGTCTCTCTGTCCTCTGTCTTTCTGTCTCTCCTTTTCCCCTCTCCATCTCTGTGACAGTCTCTCTTGCCTGCTAGAGAAGTGTAATTGGGTTGTAGGGATGCCCCGCTCTGGGGAGCCCAGGATTTATGGATGGCAATTAAAGTTTTATGAATTGCAGCTGAGGCTGGTTATTGAGCTATTTGAATGTGATTAGAATTCAATTAGAAAGTGGTTAGTGGACGGTGGGTCTCCAGAGTGTAAACAGACAGCTATTCCAGAAATGTGCTAATCCAACATCTTGTGACAACAATTAAGGAGTCTCGGGGCTTAACTTTGGGCAACTCAGCTGTAACTACTTTTGTACCACACGGTTTGTCGGTGCAGCCATTGCAGATGCTCAGCCTGAACCTGGCTGTGCCTGGTCCAGCCCAACCTCACTCAAATTGATAGAATCCAGGCAATCCCTGGGATCATTCCAGCCCCCAAAAGAAGACTAGGAGCTCCACCATCAAGAGAGGCTTAATGACAGAGTGTTTTTTATGGGGCTAAATTATCCAAATAGATGACACGATATCCCCATTCACTTTGCAAGTTACATATATACACATATGCATATATATTTAAAATTATATAAGATATTACATGTAAAAATATATACTTGTTCACTTTGCAAATGTATATGCATCTCTCCTTTTTCTCCTTTGGGCTATGTAGAAGTTAATCCAAAATCTATTTGGGGCTGAAGTTTTGGGGGTCAGTGTTCCCAGCAGTTCTGGGTGTGCTCACAGGAAGAACTCCTGTGCTAATGTGCTGGAATTTGTGCTTATAGGAGGACCATTTCATTTTGGAGAATCCTAATTACAAACCTCAAGCATCTAATTCAATTTATACCTGGCTATGGACACATGCAGTTGGAGCTGGAGTGCTAAGGCATTTTGAGAAGAGAGGTGCACGGGATGAGAGCTCGGGGCTGCAAGGGGGGCAGCAGCTTGGGCCAGACTGAGGCCCAAACCAGACCATGTCTGAGAAACTTGCCTATTAGGGTACTTGGCTAATTGCTTGAACCCAATAAGAACAAGTATTTGGGGGGTCATGTTCCATATTAGAGTCTTTCTCTTCTTAGACTTCTTTTCAGTTTCCTTTGGATCCCTCAGTGTCCTCCCCATCTGTCCGTCTGTCCATCTCTCCTTTCCTCCACTCGAGCCCAGCCTTCCACCCCCTCCCAAGGAAACCTACCCTCCATGGGCCTAGGCAGCTTTGCAGCTCTGCCTGGCCAGCTAGAACCTTCCCCAGGACAGCAGCACCTTGGATCAGCTCAGAGCAGAAGCCCCCTGCCCCCAAGATGTTGATGAGTCCCCATGGTGCCCCCACTGCTGCACAATTTTATTTCTCACTGATTCTGTCCGATAAAATTTCATCATCCATTAAGTAATCCCTGAAATGAGAGCTCTTATGAGCCTATAATGAGCTCTAATTGCCACGACTGGGGGAGCCACGTGGAAGGATTTATTCGGTATTAAGCAGTCGGGTACAGAGTACAGGCTGTTACCTAAGCCATTACTTTCATAATTCAAGGAGAAAATTAGTTCTTTTAGTGGGGCATCCTTTGATTTCCTCCCTCTGGCTCCAGATGACAGAGGATGGTGTTGTCTTCCTTGAGTGCGAGGCAATGTCACAAGTGCGAAGGTGACAGAATTGTCCCCCTTCATCGCCACACCCCTGCCCAGCCTGGATGCCACTCTTACCCTGAACTGAGAAGAAAAAAAAAATCAAAGCGGTTCAGAGGTGCCGCCCTCTGCCCCTGGGCTTTCCAGCTCGAGCCTGGGTGAGTAGTTTCCTCCCAGCTCCAACTTGAGATGGGAATTCTTGGTCATAGGTTTCAAAAAGTCTTCCAGTACTTTACCCCAATCAGGGATCACACCTGACCTGAAACCCACAATCCCCTCTTCCTCTCCATCTTCCTTTCTCCTTTCAAGGGCAAAGTCGGAGAAAGCGGAGGGCGGGGACTTTGCGGGGCTTATTCAACAGGCTCCAGAGATCTGACCCGTGGTCGTGCTCAGCGGTCCTTTCGGCTGTAATTCCCACTTTGCCCCTCCCTCTGCGCCCCCCAAAGCACCACCCCCTATTCCTAGTTCTTTTTTTCCCCTCTCAGTTTCAGGGTTTGTCCACATGGTTCTCCTGCCCCTAACCAAGACCGAGAGCAGGGCGGGACAGCCCGGGAGTTGCCGGGGCCGCCTCGGATTTATTTGCTCCTCTTACATTGATTTCATATTAGTTTCCAAAGCGATGAATGATCTCAAAGCTGGGTTTTGTTAGCCGAATACAAACAGGAGACAGGACTTACTTGCCCCCAGCTCCCTTTAATGAGGTCATTATCAAAGCGTGAACAAGTCTATGAATGTTTTATTGAAAGCGCATCGTTAACTTGTATCCATCCTTTTCTCGGAGTGGCATTGTGATATTGCTGTCTGTGGCACATCTTACCCGATATAGCCCGAGATTTCCCCATTCTCTGTAACCAGGCAACCCTTTCTGAATACCCAAAAATTGAAAAGAACCGCTTAGTCTTCAAGAAAGTCCTCAATAATAGTGGAAAAGAACAAAGATCCAGGAGACAACAAAATGCCACAGGGGTGACTTTTCATGAGCAATTATCTCTCATTAATCAGAAGAACAGCTGCAATATTAATTTTCTCTCTTTCTTCCTCTCTTTTCACAGTCCCCAACATTTGAATAATCATAAATTTTGATTTTATGGAGTCACATTTTCAGGGGCTGGAGGAGAGCAGCTACCTAGTTGAAGGAGAAAGCACTCATTTAACAAAAAAAAAAAAAAAGTAAAGCTTGCCAACAAAGCAAAATGGAAAAAAAAATGAGGGACATACTAGAGAAAACGGCACCCCCTCCTCCTTCTGGAGGGCGGCTGGGAATCAGGACTCTGCCCCAGTCCCCCCTCCTAACTCCCCCTCCCTTCTTTCCTCCCCCTGCCCAAACCTCTTCCCCAGTTCGCCTCTAAGCGGGGCGGAGGGAAGTGTCCCGGCGTCTGGCGTGGGAGTTTCAGCCGGGTTTCTGCCCGTTTAACTTGCAAACGTGAAGCCAAGCGTTGTCGATCTGACCAAAGAGACACTCTTGGGGCGTAACTTGTATTGTGGTCATCAAAAGCCCGCCAGCCTCGGATGAACTGAGACGTGCATTCAGCAGAATTGGGGCGCTCGCTCTCCTTTCAGACGTCGGAGAGGTGATTGTTCGCAGGGTGTGTTAGCCAGGGTGGACAGCAAGGGTCTCCAGATAAGACAGCAACCTGCAAACGGGCTCGGGAGAGCGAAAGAATCTCATTGAAGCCGAGGCTATAATTAGCAAAATACGCCCTCAGAAAGAACGCAAGCCCCTCTCGAGTAGGAATAAAAGCGGAGAGTTGTGAGTTAGTCCCCACATTCCTCCGCTGGCTGCGTGATGAGGCTGTCCCTTCATCTGCGCAAATACTGTTTCTTTTAATGCTGGGCCGGCCGGGCGAAGCCATTCTGTACAAAAGGCAGGC